TATATTTGGTTGGATAGATGTGAGTTTGTGACCTTGGGTTTCACGCTTTAGCTAAAGCATGAAACCCAGGGTCACAAACTGAACATCTATCCAACCAAATATGTTAGCTCTATCTCTGATATTGAGCGCTTTCTAATAAGTACCATATAATATATAAATAATTATACATATAAACATTTATTTATATTTATATACACTTTTTATATAAATATATATATATATATATATATATATATATATATATATATATATATATATATATATATACAAACACACACTCGTGTGTGTGTGTGCATCAGCTATTGGCACCTATATGAAGCACATCTGCTCTTTGACAGGGTGTTTTTCAACCTGTAGAGTGACATGCCACCCTCCTCACCAGCAGAAAAGCAAGTGAGGGAGCTGGTTCAGACATCAACCATTTAGCAGGTTTTATTGGGTCACATGTCACGAGTAGCAGCCCTCAGCTTCATCTAACCTTAAATAGTAAATAACTAACTTTAAATTAAAATTGTTCAATTATATTTGTGGGTGTTTGTATGTAAAGAATTAATGGATTTTATTTTTTAATTCAACATATATTTTTATTACTGCAAATGTTATTTTTAGTGGATACCAGTAGTTGGGATCTGAGTAGATACTAATTTTTTAACAATGTTATTTCATTTACTGGTCTGCACACTCAATGAGACTGAACAGATATGGCTTCCAAGAAAACCTGAACAAGTGAATGTGGTGGAAGGCAAACAGAACCTTTCTTGATGGTGAAGCTCTCCATAGCTGACCAAAGTATGTAGGATCAGATCTGCAAAGAGGGATGATGGTTCATATCTTGCTGGAGTTCACATTTTCTTTAAGTTTTCTTGAGTGCATAGACAAAATAAAAACTGTTTAAAAAATGTAGTGTCTACTCAAATATCGGTACTCACTAAAAATAATGTTTGAAGTAATAGAAAGAAAAAAAACCCTTAAGAGTAGACGGACAGATCTGATGGCGAAACTCTGGAGTTGGGATGCTGAAGGTAAAGTCAATCAACTAAGTGACAAACTTTACTCCCATTAATCCTATAAATATATATTTTTTGGAAGTGTTATCTGATGATCCAGTGTCCCTTAAAAGGGCTCTGGTGAAATAAATTATTATAATGGAACCTTAAAGTGGTCTGTTTTTCTTTAAAATATATATATATATATATATATATATATATATATAGATAGAGAGAGAGAGATAATATTAGTGGTAAATATACATACATACATGCATGCATGCATGCATACACATACATATATATTTTTTGAATAAAAAAATTCCAAGAGGATAGAATCCAGGTAGAACTCAATGTCAATACATATAGGTTTTCTTGCCGATATGTATGTATGTACGTGTATATGTTATTGTGCATGTGTGTATACGCATGTGTTTTTGAACATAAAAATATAGGTCCTTGCTAGATTAGATAATCCTTATATTTTTTATACATTTATATTTGATTTGTAACCTGTAGTCGATATTAATTTTGTCAGATTTTTTTAATTACACAGCACCCTTTCAGTAAATGCCCTTCAGTTTTAGTTTCCCCTGCCCCATCTCTCTCCCCAGCCCCTTTTTCTTTTCTTTTCCTCTCCCTCCCGCTTCTTCTGATCTTTAAGATTAGATCGTCTATTGTGTGTGTATGTCACCACAAAATGTATCCTTTCCGGTTACATCCTTAATGTATTAGATATTCGACAACATTCATATTTCTCTCACTTAAACCATCTTTAACTCACCTCTCTAAAACTTCAATCTGTTAAGTTTTAATCTCCCACCTTCTCTTGTCTGTTACCCCTCTCTTTAGCTCTAACATTCATCCCACACTCTCATACTTATACTCTTTCTAAATTCTATTTTTTATTTCCAGAGTTGTTTTTTTCTGTTTTCTTTTTAAATTTGTAGGCCTGATGAATTGGATCGTATTTACGATTCCAATGGAATAAATTATGACCATAGAATATTAGTGTTAAGCCTTTTTATTATTTATTATATATATATATATATATATATATATATATACACACACACTCTTTACAATTGTAATTAAGATACCTTTAGTAAATTACCATTTTCACCTACAAATTTTAATTTTAAAATTCACAGGATTTTTCAAACTGTTTCTGGTATCAGTTTGTAGTATACTTTTGTTTATTTGGAGAAAGAAAGAGAGAGGGTGTTATTGGAGACCTATTGGGAGGTAAGGGGGGAAAGGAAGTCATTGCTATTGGAATCATATTATGGAGGTAGGAGAGCCTTGGAGACTGATGGGCTGACCTACATCCTGATGGTCACACAGTCAAAATTTAATTCGACGAGAATTCATGGAAATTAACGGAAATGGGAAAGAACACTCAAGAGGTAACTTTGGTAAAATGAAAGAGAGTCAATTCGGAATTATTGGTATTGAACTTGTCCATATATCAGAGTTCAAAGTTAGGGAGTGTTTTTTAAGGACTTGGAATGAATTTGGATATATATGTATGCATTCTCCACAAAATCCTGCGAATTTTAAAATTAAAATTTGTAGATGAAAATGGTCATTTACTAAAGGTATCTTAATTCCAATTGTAAAAAAAAAATTGCTCTGTTTATTGAAAGTAAATATGGAGTGCCCTTTTGTGAGTCAGTTTTAACATATTTCAAATTCTATGTTCTGTTAATAGGACTCGCCTGGATTATACTAACGGATTACTACCTATATATATATAAACATTTTTTTGCAATGATTAGGGATAAGTTTCTGTTTGATTTTAGTTTATGTGAATTAGTTAATACTTAAAAAATAACTTGTGCTAATGATAAAAAAAATACACCAGTTTGCTAAAGTCAATTTCTAAAGTGTGTGTGTACTGATCATGGAGTCAGTTTTTTGATTCTTATCGTTTTAATTTTCTTTTCCAAGTCAGTTTTGGCAGGGAGACCAGTTCAGGGGGAAGAAAAAGTGAATTAAAAACCAGGCTGAATTGGCTGTGAGCTTCATCAGGCTATCTTGCCCCTAGACAACCTCTGTTACCATGGCTGCATTACATGTGATGCCCTTACGACCCTAATGGGTTATGGGTGAGATGATTCTTATTTGCTTTTAAAAGTAACTGGTCATTTTGGTTATTGATTTGCCTAAGTGAAAATGTTGATTTTTATTTTTGAGAATTTTAGTAATCACACACAGTCCTGGAAGTAGACAGGGACTTAAAACAGTTAACTAAATGGAATAAGAAGCCTGACCAAAATAGTGATGCAATATCATCTCAATATATAAACAAATACAGTCCAAGCTTTATTGAACAATCAGATTGATTAGGTAGATTTGATTTTGATATGATTTTTTTTATTATTGAAGGCGGATCTAGCATGATAATAGGCGAGGATATTTTAGGTTTTCTTTGAATTCTTTCTTCGTCACCGTAATTATCAGTATGATTTTTTTTTTTTTTTTTGTTCAATTCCATTCTGTTATTTTATTCAAGTCGTTTCTTCCTCCATGACTGTGTACCCAAAAGGTAGTCAAGACGGATGCCATTTTGACTTTTGTAAATTTTTTACCCCCGCTTAAAAAAAAGTTAGGGTGCATTTTTAAGGATGTAAAATTTTAGAAATGGTTATCTGTTTAAAAAAAAAAGAAAAAAAAAAAAGTGTTTAAATAAATCACTCACAAGAAGCATGCGTGCTGTACTCTGTTCCAACCTTTAGTTTTTTAGCTCTAATATTAAATTAAGAAATTAACGATAAGCTTAAAAATTTTAAGCTTATGGTTTTTAATTCCATTATGATTTTAAGTTAAATCAAAATCGAATTTGTCTTTAAAGGAGAATACAAAATCAAGAAAAAGAAAAAGTGGGATTGAAGGTCAAGACGTAACCCTGAAGTTTTATTGACCAAACATGAATTTATGATCTAAAATTGGCAAGTTATCTTAATTCAAAAATAACGTTGACTCTTCTTAACGAACAGTATTTAACATTTTTAAAATCGGAGACATGGTCCGTAAAATGTACACTACAATCTCAGTAAAATTACTTTTTTTTTTAACTCATTTTATTGAGACTAGTGCACATTTTAAGGTTTTTTTTTACCTTTCTTGTCTCCGCTGTTTAACAGTTAGCTAAGTCAGTAAAAAAAAAACTACAAACAGTAGACACATTTCTTAGGAACGTAATTTTAAAAATACTTAAATTAATAAAATATAATACTACATATGAAAGAGAAAAAAAATTAATAATATTCAGTAAATTATATAGTTTCATAAAAAAAATAAAAAATACATTTTCTATTTTTTAGAGGTAAAGGTCAAAACAACATTCATGATTTTAAGTTGATCATATTTTAAGGACAATTGTACAATTCATTAAAAAAGAAAAAAAATTCACATAATTTAATCCTCTTGATTACATAATTAAAAATAACATTTTTAACAAGAAAAATAATTAATAAAAACTCATATCATAAAATAATTAATAAAAACTCAGATCATTTACCCGGGTGCTTTTAAAACAAGAAGTTTTAAACACCAAATAGACTAATTCTAGAACGGAAAAAACAGCTTTATTCAAAAGACAAAATAATTAATGTAAAATAAACTAAAAAAAATGCTAATAATTCTCACCTGAATTATTTTCTCAAACTAATTGAAGCATCATAAGAGCAAAAATGAAGAAATTACAAATTATTGTTAATGTGGCCGACTTTGTTTCAAGGGTAGATAACTCTTATTAGTTGCCACCAAACGAGAATTATTTCTTAGAAGTTCGTTTAACTTGGCACAAGGCCACGTTTATAGTGCACCAAACAGAAGATAAATGTAAGTGATGGTTAGCATAAGCACCATTCTGCTACTCCAGTTAATCGAATATTAACCTAATATCTTTTTAAAATTAAATAAATATTTTTTTTTAAATTAAATAAATTTGAAGTTTTGTCTTTGAGCAATCTTTTACGCCGGAATATAATTTTCATAACACCGGTTATTATGACACTGGCGTAAACAAGGTCACGTGAGCTCAGTGATGACAATTCTAAAAAACAATAATAATAATTCGACTTTTATTTCTTGAGAGAAGAAGCGCCTATTACCTGACTCATAAATTCACGTACGATCGCAAAGGTAATTAAAAATAATATTTTTAAGTCTGAGAAAAATGTCTAGCCATCATCACAAAAAGGACTTCCCTTTTGGGATCGTACACACTTTTTTTTTTCCTAACGATCCTTTTGACTTTTCAAAACATCCTGCAAAGTCCTCAGAAGTCTCAAACATATACATTATACAAACAGGCTCATTATTACCGACCTTTGACTTACTTAAATATTTTTTTTTTTTTTTTGAGAAACCCTGGGCCGACGCATTTTTAGTTTTCATTAAACCCCGCCCTCAAAAGAATATATTTATTTCCCTTGCATTAAAATTTGTATTATGACATTTAAACTGAACGTCTGGAAACTATTTAATTATTTTCAATAAAGACAATGAAAACGAATAAAAGGTGCTTTCACTTTAAAAATTCAAGAATCGCCCTCCCCCCCAAAAAAAAAAAATTTAAAAAATGAATAATTAAAAAAAAAAAGTCTGTTAGTTAAAGTAAGAAGTTCAAAATGATAAAATTTCTAATTTTTGATTTCATAATGCAAAAAATACAAAGAACTAGTAGTGATTTATAAAAAATTATATAATAAAAAGAAATGTACTAAAATTATATAAAAAAATAATTAGCGTAAATTAAATAAAAAAAAAATAACAATACTACCACGGACTTTCTAAAAAAAAAAAAATTAAAAACATTTTAATTTTGAATATTAATAAATAAGTGTTCTCTGAACTTAGATTTCGGTTCTATTTGAAAAATAAAGAAAGATATTTCGAATTAAAAGTAAAATTTCCGTATATAAATAAATTATAAACATTTTAAGCATTTTTATACGAAAAAATAAAAACGTAAACTAAACAACAAATTTAAAATTCTCTTTAAAATTCAATATTTGTCCTAAAGATGAAAAAGATGTGTTTCAAAGTCTGTTACATAAGGAGAGGATTAATTAACTGTATTTTCTAAAACAAAGCTTACCTTTTTTTTACTTAAAATAACGTTTTATTTACGCAAGAAGTTAAAAAAACTAAACAAAACACTACCCTGTTCGAAAAAGCGCGGGAAAAAAAGTGTGTGTGTGGGGGGAATAAATAAATAAAACCTAAAGAAGTACGGAAGGCTAGCAGTACAATAATCAAGAATTTATTATTTATGTTTAGAACTAAATTTTTTTCAACTTATATAACCAATAGTTTAAGGATATAATTTTTTATTCTATACGCTTTTATTGAATTTAATATAATGAATAATTTTATTTTTTACACTGACTGAATGGATGATATGAAATTAGATTAAAAGCATCATAATACTCCTCTCCTGAGTGTTTGTTCATGCATGCACAATAAGGTGGCATTGATTGGTTTTCAAATTTTATCAAGGCTGTGCAACTGGTTCTTGAGATTGTAATGGCTGCCTTACCATTAACAAGAAAAGAAGTGGAATTGACAAAACAAACAAGTGGAGATAAGATTTGGTTGAGATAAGTAAGAGTTTTTTTATTTCTCATGATCTCTACAAAGTTTGATATTTGCCTGATCCTGATTATTGTATAATAGTCCTGGGAGACTGGGAGTTCGTTTGTTCAGGATATAACACAAGGTAGTAGTCAAGATAGACATGTAGAGAAAATCAACACACATATGGTCAAGTAAGTAGACTTGAAGAAATATTCCATGAATTATGTCATTCTACTAACCTTGAATTAGTCTCTGCTGCTGGTTTTGTTGTTAGCCAAAGGCATCACTGTTAAAGATGGAAACACCTTAGTATCACTGTAGATGATCATTATCGAAGCCTATTATAAAAATGGACATTCAAACAGAAATGCATTCCGCACATTTTGCAATTTTTTTGGTCAACATAATCAACCAACCGAGAGTTCAATTGGAAATGATGTAATATTGTGGAGAGGTTCAATTCCTGCGCACGATCACGAATAGAGATGTCTCGATTTTTGGCCTCATTCTTGTGCACTGCAGCAATGTTTTTATCTGAACGGCTTAAACGAGCACGCAATGGTATTTTCACATCTGCCACTGACCCAGTTTAAACTTATGAACAATTTTTCCAATTGCACTCTTGAAACTTTAACACGTTTGATTGTAAATCTTTCCATTGTTGAATCTGAAAGAAAAAGAAAAAATCATCAGATGCTTAAACTTAATTCACATTTAAAATCAGTCCAAGTTATTGGAACACCCTATACTATGTTCTTTATGGTTTATGTTAATATTTTTAATAGATCGTCTAATTTGTTCATCAACAATGTAATCAGGAAAATCATTATTAATGAGAGTATGTGTAATGTATATATGATAAAATATAGTTTGTAGGTATGCTATATTAAATGGGTTAAAATGCTCAGGGATAGAAGTTATGTAAATATAAAAGTGGACACTGGTCAACACCTAGAGGCAACAGTCTGTTTCATGCTAAATACAATAGTCAGGCCATCTGATGATTTCATTTAGCATAAATCAGACTATTATATATATATATATATATATATATATATATATATATATGTATGTATGGGCATGTGGCTGAGTGGTTAGAATGTTCGCTTTCTGACCATGAGACCTCGCTTTGAATCTCACTATGGTTAATTTGTCAGGTAGACAACTTCCTGATGTTAGCAGACTGGATTGCAGTTGATCTCAGTGTGCGGCACTTTTGGAAAGCACCTGAAAAACAAACCTTGTGTTGATCCAAGCCTTGTGAGTGAAATTGGGTAGACAGAACTCTTGTGGACCATTGATAGCTGTGTTAGCACAAAACCACAAGTCATCGTGCCCGAGGGCTTGAGTGTGTTGGCATTGTTCAAATTGTTGATCACACTAGATAACATTCTCTCTCCCAGAAACTGTAACTAAGGTCTGCTCAGTGTAGTTGCAGTATAAACCAAAGGTGGGCTCAGTGGGTGTTGAGCAAACACAAATGTGCCTGAGTGAGCATCTGCAATAAGGATTGGCTAGCTGCCCTAGTAGATGGGTATCCTCGAATGTGAGTGGCTAGCTATTATGTATGTAAAGGCACGGAAATAAAAATAATGAATATAAGACACCCTATAAATTTACTCATGACCTTTTCTTTGGCATATATAAAATGATAAAACCAACTAGTGAAAAAAAATAACATTTAAAATATGCTTTAGCACAGATTTACTGAAAATTTTTTTGTAATTTTAAACAAAACCCCCAAAATTTGGAGATGACAGTTCTTTAAACAGGTGTTGTGCCCATAAAAAATAAAAGAAGTTATCAGTAAAATTGTTGTAATGGAATGTCCCACACTCCCTATCACCTATGTGGACTGACTATATCAGTGGTTTTTCAGGTGTTGAATTAACTTACAAAATTTCAGAAAGCACTGGGAAGGTTCCTAGGTTATGTGTAGGTGTTGTAAGTTACCTCATCTGCCCTGGGTAGGGGATTCCCTGGCCAAGCTATGTAGTCTATGTTGACGCCAGTCTTTTTCTTAGTGCTTGTCACAGCAACACCCTTGTTTGTGGATTACTTTCCACTTGCTCAGTAAAGATATTATTCAAAATGTCAAAAAGTTCTGTATTTATATATTTTTTGTAAGAACTGATTATGTTTTTTGTACACATAGAGAAATTGCAAAACATTATTTTTATACGAAATCTTAATTTCCCCACTTAAAAATCGGTGTGTGCATTACATGACTAACGTTATTACCTGTATCTGTATGTACACAAAATTTATTAAATTTTATATAAAACTATGTTCAAGGTATATGTTATTTATGTAAAACTACCTTCAGGGTATTTTTGTTTTTAATCGGTATCACCCCATGCAAGTCAGGCACAAGGGGTTACAAGGTGTGGAATTGCTAGGAACAGAAACATTAATGATGAACAGGAAGAGAAAAGGTAATCAGTAGGACAGTAGATAGCGATTAGCATTGCATAAGCTGTGTTATGAAATATAAAGGGATATCATGTTTATGCTTCAGTTCCATTGGCAAGCTGCTCCATTTTATAACTGCTATCTACAAATTAAATAGCCTGTATTCCAAAATCTGAAAACTGAAGCATTTCCTGTTGCAAGAATTTCAGGTTAAGGATTCTCAACTTGTACTAGAAAAAAGTAAAAAAAAAAAAAGAAATAAACAAATAAAATATGTATTTAAAATCAAAACAAAAATCTTTATGGTAAGACACATGACACAGTGGATAAACGCATTACTTAGATCCAGTGACAGGATGCAAAGAGTGTGAGTTCAATACCCAGTTAAGACAGTAGAGAACTTGGAAAGGGGAATTAACAGGAGATAAATGATAACTGGCATCCATTAAACATGGCATATGGAACTAGAACAGTCTACCTCAGTGAGCGAAATAAAGTGTTCAGTTCGACATTCCAACCACCTGAAGAAGGCCGAAGTGTACAACGGCTGAAACGTTGTAATAAATATAGCTACAAAGGTGAGGACAATAGTCCAAATAATGTAAACAGTGTACATAATACCTCATCTCAAAAATCTATACAGACACTGTAAGATAATAGATCTAAAAAAAATATTCATTTTATGAACCGATCAAATAAAAAAAATATAGAATCAAGAATCTTTAAAACTTGTACCCTCTCAACATTTAACATATGATTCTTCCACCCCACACTGAGCATGTGTGGGTTCGTTACATTCACTTACATGCAAATACCCTTTGGAAAGGTATGAATCCAACTCTCCCCATCTATGGGTTAAATTGTATCTGGAAAAATCATTACTCTCCAAAAACTTGTTAAAGCAATATTCATTCACAAAAAAAAAAAATTATTCTTACAATGCAAAATACATTTCAGCTTTAAGTAATCCAGAAAGAGTTGGTAAGCTGTAAAAAAACCCCAAAAAAACAATCTCTTTACCCTGACTTATTATTTTGTGGTGTCATGCCTAATGTAAGAGTTTTAAAAATAAATTTTTTATTTATTTTTTATGAACCTTGCACATTAGCTGATAACTTTATACTTCAAAGGTCACTGTTCAAATCAATATCAAATTTTATGTGACATCCATTGTAAAGTATCATTTTATATTCATATACTTAAACAAAATCAAACTGTTTTTGACTGTATCTTATTTCTCCAGTACATTTTACAGCCTTGAAGATGGATGCTGTTCACCTCTTTCAACTGCTAATAGTAGTGATTCATGCTATTAGTAGCAGTCTTACTGTTTCTAAATCTACCAGCCTCCCGCTTGTTATTAATACTTGGCCCTTCAAAAAAGCTACAGAAAAAGGTATGTAGTTTTTGACTGACTGTTATTATCTTGTTTTGAATTATAGACTTTAGGGATTTTCATTATTAATCTCTTGAGTGCTGATAAGTCATTCCCAGAATAAATAATTATCAATTATAGTTGTATTTACTCTGTGTCTATTCATTTGCAATGCATTTCTATAATGCATTTTTTAAAATGCATTTCTATAATAAATCTCTCTTTTGCTTTTCTATAGTAAATAATTCTAGTTCATTTCTACAGTAGTCATTTTGCTATGCCTTTTTATAATTACTTATGAGTCATTTTTCTATTTATTCATTTCTGTTATTCTAACACATCTTCAGTGTATTTTTTATATCAAGTGTTTTCAAATATTTTTCTTTCATAAATCAGTTTCATGCATTTATGGGTATTTACTAACTCAGCTTAATCTGGCACAGGGCCATAACTCTGGAGCACTCAGTGGGGACTGAACTTAATATCATAATGATCTTTGAAATTTGCTAACTCTTGCTCCTGTGTCAGGTGGTCTTCGCATGTGTTTTTATATTTTATAACCTTATTTAGTTGAATTTTATAATAGGTAATTTAACTAGAAACAATTTTTTTCCTATTACTATGGTTTAAGCACCCTATATCACGTAAATAAAAATAAATAAAAGTTAAATTAAATTTTATAAAAGTTAATATTAGGGTCCAGTTTGCTATGTAAATTCATTGTAGCAATGTGAACTGAACCCCCTACAGAAGCAAAAACAAAACATAATTTCTTACAATTTAAAAAAATACATTTTTTTTTAATTAATAATCTGGAGGGATTAATCAATAGTAATATGTGCCAGATGGTAGAGGAAGAAATTCTGATTATGAATTTCAATTTTTAAAAAATCTTCTTGCAAATTAACGTGTTTTGTGTCCATAAAGAAATATATAAATAAAATAATTGATTATACTGTCACTGTGTCATGTACATAAAAAATAAAAATTAATTATAACATGAAAAATAATTATAAAAAAATAGTTATAACAATTATAATTATTAATTCATTCATTCTACACCAATGAGAATCAACCCCACTTTTCTCCTTTACACACACAAACATGTGACATTCTCTCTATCAGACAAGCAGTCAACACAGACAAGACGTCAACATGTGCATCAATTAAAATTTTGGTTCTTTTTCCTTTCTCGGGCTATAGTAGTAACATTTATCTCTTAGCACTCAACAAAAATTCAAAATAAGAATATCCTTGACACTTCTTGTATTTTCTGGACACTCATTACACACGTCTACATAAATAAACATACGAGAAAGACTATATATATTTTATTTATTCTTGATCTTATCATTCTGTCAGATTCCAATCCATATTTGATCTACATTTGACCCCAAACTCACAATTTTACTCAGTATTATGGTCTCGTGTCTCCAACACAATATAACAGCCAAATAATAAATAATACTCATTTTGTTGTTTCCACATCTTGCTGTTTCTCATTTTTATGTGTATTTTTGTATATATAAATGTTAGATAGTTTATAATTATTTACTCAGAGTTATAAGTCCCCAAAAACCTTTTGTTGGTCATGCAAGTGATGGAGACATCAGGAAAGCATTCAAAAATAATTTAAACTGAAATGTGAAAAAGTTCAAGATTGCCAATGGTTTTTTAGTTGGAAATATTTACATTACATACATTTTTGATTCTTGTGTTATTTTTTTTTTGTTTTTTTTTTCTAGCCTGGAGTGTGATTAATAATGGAGGATCTAACCTGGATGCAGTTGAAAAAGGCTGTTCTGTATGTGAAATTCAGCGTGTGTGCAGTGACAGTGTTGGATATGGAGCACATCCGAATGAGAAAGGGGAGACAACTCTTGATGCCATGATTATGGACGGGTAAATAATCTCTCCAAGGTTATTCCTCTTTGTTAATGTTTTGCTTTTCTTTTCAACTGATAGCCCTACAGAGAAACTGCATACCAAGGTCTGCTCAACATAGTTGCAATATAAATCATTAGGTTGACTCCGTGGTTGATAAGAAACCTAGATGTGTCTGCAACAGGACTACTCTAGTTATCTAGCAGTAACAATTTTCAAGTAACTATGGTTTACTTAGATTTTCAGATCTTCAAGTATAGACCCACTTCCTTTAAAAAGGATAGCAGGTCATCCACATTGATGTTTTCAAATAGGGCCTTATATTTTTTATTTTTGTTATATTCATTTAGAAATAAGTAAAGGAAATGAAACTGTATAAATTATCATTTTCTGTTTGAGATTTAAAAACAAATTTCTGGCTTTCTTTATAGGGTTAGCCACCGAGTTGGTTCTGTTGGGAACCTGAAGCGAGTGAAAGGTGCCATTTCTGTAGCCAGGGCTGTCATGGATTATACACAACATACAATGCTTGTAGGAAATGATGGTAAATATTTGCTGAATTGTAGAAGTAAAGCAATTTTGAAATTAAGGAATTATCTTACAAATGTTAAGTTTGAAACTGTGTTAATTGATAATTGTATAATATGGTAGAATTCTTGACAACTGGGCTAAAAAGGTGTTATGAATATGAGGAATTGGTTACAACTCCGGATATGAGGGATTCCGGATATGAGGAATTGGTTACAAAGTCTGGATATGAGGGATTCCGGATATGAAGAATTGGTTACAAAGTCCGGATATGAAGGATTCCGGATATGAGGAATTGGTTACAAAGTCTGGATATGAGGGGTTATATTTAGATTAAAATAAAATGACTGAAATAAGGTTTAACATTTATTTTCAATAGTAAAAAAAAAATAACCTAATGGTGAGTGAAATATAATGGATTGATTTTAAGGAAAAAGAAATAAATTATGTTAATGAAAATTCATTAAATTAAGAATGTGTTGTAACCTAGAAAGGGTTACCGAATGAGGAATAACCAAAACAGAGATTGGAAATGAAATGGTAATCTTTATAGCATCACTAAAATACAATACTCACCAGTAGCATGTAGTAGGTAAACCACTGCTAGTGGTGGACTACTTAGACAGCATATTACCCTCACTTACAATAATGTCCAATGTATTTATGAGGACTGGGATATACCCATTAGTGTTCATAGGTACAGTATATGCCACGTATACAAAACAAATGTAACGAGAACCTTTTAATCACTGTTGTATGATGATTCTTTCTCTTCTAATGTCATTCTCAACTTTTCCTGCATTTTGTTTTGCTTTTGTTCTTGAAAATTTTTAAATGAAAGACACTTTTTAACTCTGCCTGTGTTATTGCAATCATCATAGCTGAATGCTGGCTTTCTTTCCATAAAACTGACAAACTTTTCAATAGCTTTTTCAATTTCAGTCCAGGTTTCATTACAATCATGTTTTTTATTTCCTTGTTCATTGTGACAGTGTGAACGCTGGAGAATAGTTTCTTTGGAAGATTTTATATCATGCAATGTTGACTTTCCTATGTTGAACTCAGCCATTAGTTACAATGAACTTTCATCAGCGTCTAGTCTGTTTAAAATGTCCACATTTTACGATAACTCCAAAATTTTTCTTTTCCTCTTATTCCCATCATCTTTTTCACCAATACAAGCCATTAGGGTGAAATAAGCATAAGCAATTATCCAAAGTATATTTCCTGAAAAACAGAAATTTCAAATCAGTTACATATCACCCAAATAGTTCAAATATATCGCATCAAAATCATGTCCAGATATGAATCACTCCGGGTATGAGGGATCTACTGTATTATGAATTGGTATAAAGTACAACATCTCTAGTATGCAGTTATTAATAATGTTAACACAGTTTCAAGCTTGATATTTGTAAATAAAAACAAAGTACCCCATTAAGAAGTCAGGCATTGATTTGACACTATATTTATATTATGAGTGGTACCTCTTTTCTAAAACAATAAGTTAATATTTTACACTTCTGACATCCATTATGGGTAGAGGAAGATCTCATGAATGATAATCTATTATTATTGTGCAAAAAGTTATTCCCTTTTTTTTTAACGAGCAAACCAGTTAATTTAAGTTTTACTGAGTTCATTTTACGGGTATGACGATAAACTACATCTGCGTGCTGGGTAAGATGATAAACTATGTCTGACAGCAAGGCCTCTGATCAGGAGGTTTGAAGAGTGTGGAATGACCTCTAATTTGCTAGTGTTCCCAGGTCCACCCTGAACCAGGGTTGTAGCACCTGTTAGGGTCCCAGCTATGGGCAAATAGTTACTCTCCAAAAGGGGGTCAAAACACTATGAAAGTATAAAAATAGGTTTTAATACCAGAAATATTTTGTAAAAAATTGAAGGAAAAATTATTACCAGAAATACATTAAAAAAAAAAAATATTACCAGCAATACATTTTTTGAAAAAAATATCAGCTATACAGAAATAGATTTTTGAAGGAAAAAATATTACCAGGAATACATTTTTTGAAAAAAAAATATTTCTAGCATTAAATAACCCATTGAGGTTGATATGCCATAAAACAAACCAAACCAGACCAAACTTGAATACACCTTATGTCTTTGTTGGGAGTCTAGATCATTGACAAAGGTCATTGCTAAAGAGTGAGAAAGTTAAAGGAGATGGCATATGAGGTAGTGCTGAAAAGTTTTCAGCCTGACCAAGTAGGGATTAAAAAGAATCTGATATTTAGTGAAGTGTGGAAGTAGGTCAGGTGTAAGATTTTTTAGCACCTCCTTGTATATTGGCTTGGTGCCAGTGGTCACTAAATGCATCATAAGAGACAAGACCATACAGTTTAAAACAATGTAGGATTGTTCAGATGATATAATGTGTCTAGAAAGTTCTTTCAAGGCTTCAAGTAAAAATACCAATAAAAGCCAGGCAAAGTTTAAACCTTCATACTTGTTTTTTTTGTTAACACTACTATTACTGTATACTACCTTGATTCCCTCAGCAATGTTTATTTCAGTCAGTCATGTGCCATGCATGATACATGCTTAGGCAATCATGTATCTTTTGATACATGACTGACAAGGCAGATTTTTCCCGCAGTAGGTTGCCATTTCTTTTTGTGGTAGACCAGTTGCCATCCAAGGCTATAGAACTCAGTCTGTTCTGGGGGAAGAAGAAAAAGATTCATATTTTTCCCAAGGGTCAGTCAGTCATGTGCCATGCGTGATACACATGTAGGCCATCATGTATCTTTCAATACATGACTAACAAAGCAGATTTTTCCTGCAGTAGGTTGCCATTTCTTTCTGCAGTAGACCAGTTGCTATCCAAAGCTATAGAACCCTGTCTGTCCTGGGGGGAGAAGAAAAGGATTCATATCTTTCCCAAGGGTCAGTCAGTCATGTGCCATGCATGATACATGCGTAGGTGATCATGTATCTTTCAATACATGACTGACAAAGCAGATTTTTCCTGCAGTAGGTTGCCATTTCTTTCTGCAGTAGACTAGTTGCCATTCAAGTCTGCCTGTCCTGCTATTTACCCATAGCTGGGGGGAGAAGAAGAGGATTCATACCTTTCCCAAGGGTATTAGCATGTAAGTGAATGTAATGGATTCAACTGGAATTCGAGATTATAAAAATATGTGAACCAACTACAATGTGATATTTATTATTTACCTTTTTTTTTTAAAGAAATTTGACAAACGGAAAAGAGTGTTATTGAAACTAGATTTGATTACATGTTTCACCTTTCTAGGCTTCATCAGATATAAAAACGAAAGAAAGAAATATGTTTGTGTGTGTATGCTTAAATAATGAATTATTAGTATTTTTTCCCTAAGCTGGCGTTTCTTGTGATGAATGAAAATGAGTGACTTTTAAAAAAGCCGTTAATATTTATTATGTATCTTTTCTTTTATAATTCTTAGTTCATGTCAAATTTTATCAATATATTCTTTCAGCTTTTCTGTATTGAATTAAAGATAAATCCTCATCTCATTTTAAAAATGGCTTGAAAGCAGGAGATTCTTATAGCATTTTCTAAAATTAATTCAAGAAAGACAAATCTTCATCCAATTCTTCAGAATGGGTTGAAAGTAAAAGATTTATGTTTTTAGGTCTAAAAATTTAAAGATCTATGTGTGTTCTGTGTCGATAATGTTTTTAAAATAGGATATAGAATTACCATTTTATAAAGATTTATTATTTATCATTTTAGAATTAAATAGATTTGAAAAGAAATCTTTTTATTCAAAAATTTATAAATATCTAAAACATTCAAACTATGTGAACCATCTTCAATGCAATATTTAATATTTACCATTTTATAAATAAATAATGATGAAAACAAATTTTTTATTCATAATTTTATAAAAATGTCTATTAATTATAGAATAAGAAAGATTAAATAAATGAATGATTTTTCCAGATATTATACATTTTCTTCAAAAAATTTTTATATCTCAGATAACTTTTTATAATCATGATCTAGGATCAAGGATGCCTAATCAATTGAAATCTAGAATTGAAACTCCAGCAATTATAGGTTACTTCCCTTCCATAAATTTGAAAAAAATTTTGTCGCTAATTTTTCTAAAAATGGCAAGAAAATCTGCCACTAGATTATTGTCAGTCAAGTACTAACTGATCAAGAAATCCTACATGAAGAATGGATACTAAGCACCTTGACTAAAGCGAATAGCAAAGCTGGTGAATTGTGTTCTTTGTAATGGTTGGCAATCTATCAGTTAATTGATTTTATAAAATGATAAATAAAGATTTATATAAATTTCTTATAATTGGTTTGTATATTTCTATAATTTAGTAAATTGTTATAAATTTATGAATAAAAATGTTTTTCATATTTATTTCGTTATAAATTGGTGAATGTATTGCATTGTATTTGTTAGTTTGTGTATTTTTATAATGTTGTAAATTTCTTTTGAAGAATTATGACAAATGGAAAACCGTTTCATTGAAACTAGATTTGAGTACGTGTTTCACCTTTCTAGGTTTCATAGATCCAAAAACTAAAGAAAGAAATATGCATGTGTGTATTTGTGTGTTTTTTTTTTTTTTTTAAGCATTTCACCCCAAGCAAAGCAGGAGTGCCACTAGCACGCAAGGGGTTACAGAGAGTGAGAGTAAGAGTAAAGACGGGGGCATTTGAGGAAAGGATATAGAAAAGGATGGGGATTAGAATCAAGGCATCATAAGATGTCAATTGACATTACATTCGAATATTTGAAGGTTATAGCCATCAGGGAAGCAACTAAGAGGAAGGGAGTTCCACTGACAGGAAGTGTGAGACAAGAAGCTGTTGGAGTAGCTACATTTAACTGCTTTGACAGTGAAAGGGTGGGACAAAGATGCCAGCCTAGTAGCATGCTTAAATTCATGCAATTGGGGTACCAGTGAAAGTAGCTCATCAGAGCAGTTGCCAGGAAAATATTTGTAGAAAAGACAGAGGAAAGCCACAGTACATCTGTGAGAAAGTGACTGTAGATGGGTTGCCAGAACAGGACCTATCACATTGCATATCCATCTCTAGATTTTAAGTATGAAATAAAAGGTGAAAGCATGTACTCAAATCTAGTTTCAATGAAACTGTTTCCCATTTGTCATAATTCTTCAAAACTTTATTGGGATTCTTTATCTTTTTTCATACACTATGTTGTAAATATAAAATTATTCTTGTAAATAAACAATCTAAAAAATAAATAGTGTTTAATATTTTTGTTGTAAATTCTCAAGAACAAAGTATAAATTAAATTTCATATGTTTGAGTTTTATTAAAATTCTAATCATCACTTTTTACAACAATAAATGTTGCCAAGAGAATGAATATAGTCTACATTAATAGTGGGGTCAAAGGAAAAAAATGTCCTTTTGAAGATATGAAGGTTAAACTTTGCCAAAAGATAATATGATTCAGTTGTTACTTACAAAACATATCAGAACATTTTCCATGGAAATAACAATAGAGTAACGATATGTTTTTGACATTGTATCTGTGGGAAAGAAGTTGTAGGATGCAAAATGATACTGGAAAGAAGAGTATTGAGAAACTCCAACTCAGGGACTGCTTCTAGTGACACTAAGTGCACAAAACAGGATGTTACTGCTTTTATAGCTTAAAGCATAATGACATATTTTGTGTTTTCATAATAGGCTCCACACATAACTTCCGGTTGAAGTTGATTAAATTAAAATCCTAAATAAATATATGTTGACCAATGAGAAAAGAGTGTGCCTAAAATAATCAACTTCAACCGGAAGTTATGTGTGGAGCCTATTGCACAAAACACAAAATATGTCATTATGCTTTAAGCTATGAAAGAGGTAACATCCTGTTTCTGCTTTTAGTGTCACTACATATTCACATTGAAAATCAGTACTTCCGGCATCTGAAACAGATAGGAAATACACAACTACTTCAACCATCAAGCAGGCCTGAGTTATGATACATAATGTATATAAGTGAAAATATTTTTTGACTCATTCTTTTTTGTTTTCTTTTTACAGTTACAAGAAATATGTAAGTTTTAACATTTTTTGAAATGTTCACATGAAACATTTTCACTAGTATTTTATTTCTATTTTTACTGTTGTATTTTTGCCTTTTAGATGAAAACTTATCACTTATTATTTTGTTACTAATTTTACTCCATCATATTATTGTTACTACACCCTTGTGCAAATTAATTGAAACAAACGCTTTAGTTTCCTTTCTTTCACCATAGGCTCAGTTTTAGACCCACTGGAGTGACAGGGTGTAATTAATTTGTTTTTTTTCTCAGATTAGGTCATTTGCAGTGGTGGTGTGCAGTAATATGAATCTATTTTCAGGGTGTATGATAAAATTTGGTTGGCCTTGAAAAATATTGTGTCACCTGTGATTGCATCAGATTTTTATCACACCCAAACACTATTGTCTCAACTGTGGATTATTTGTCCTATGGCCATTATCTGTGATGGACGTTACTCCAAGGAAGCATATGAAACTTGTAATGCTGCACGAACACACTGGCAAGCCTTACCAGTGAGAAAATCAAAGGACTATAGACTGGCCAGGAAACTCTCCTGATTTAAATCCAATCGAGAATCTGTGGTCAATCTGCAAGGAACAACTTTGTGGAATGGACATACGAAGTACTAACATGTGCAATGGATCATGTTTCATTGGAAAAATATGAAAAAATAAATAATAACAGAATTATTCATTTTGTTTCAATTACTTTGCACAAGGGTGTATTTAGATGATGCAATGAACTATACCAAATAACAGAAACCATGTCACTTGAGGACTTTCAACAACTGCAACTATTAAAACAGATAGCGCATGTAACTTGAAGAGAAAATAAGGACATAATCAAAATATTGATGTTCCACACCACTTCGTTTCAGCCGTTTATGCTCTGGCCTTCTTCAGGTGATATATGTTTGAATTTTGAACCATGTCTTTTCTCAAAAGGCATGGTATGTGGAACTAGAATGATCTACCCCTGTGGACTAAATAAAGGGTTCAGTTCAAATTTCCAACGTATATCACTTGAAGAAGGCCAAAGTGTACAATGGCCAAAATGTGGATAACGACAAGGAGAACAGTCTGAACAATGTAAATAGTGTAAAAAATTTTATATATTTCAACCGAATGTAGAACAGGACATAAAATTTTTAAAGCTTTTTTAATTAAAATTGTGTATATCCAAAACTGCACAATTGAAAATTGTGGTCCTTCAGTGATATCAAAGGTCAGCAGTTTGTATAAAATCTTCAGAAGTAATTTGACTTTAATGTTACACAAGAGTTTTTGATAGTTATGGACACATAATATCGAGTGATTGATCTTTGTTCCAGCTACAATGTTTGCCCAGGAAATGGGTTTTACCATCACGCCACTGTACACAAATGAATCTCTCAAAGAGTGGAATGATTGGTTGCACAATAAATGCCAACCAAACTACTGGCAGGTTAGTTTCAGTTGTCTTCCATATTTTCATTTTTTACAGCATGATGTTTATTTTTAATTTTGTTCTTACACTGAATCATTTTATCCTTTTTTCTCATACACAAACACAAACACACAAAAATCTCAATGTGAGAAAACTTAAAGTACAGTAGAATCACTAACAGCCGGACTAAGTAGGACATTAGGAATTGGTTACAAAGTCCGGATATGAGGGATTCCGGATATGAGGAATTGGTTACAAAGTCCGGATATGAGGGATTATATTTAGATTAAAATAAAAGAACTGAGATCAGGTTTAACATTCATTTTCAGTGTTTTATAGTAAACAAAATAAGTTAATGGTGAGTGAAATATAATGTAAGGAAAAAAATTTAAGGAAAAAGAAATAAATTATGTAATGTTAATGAAAATTCATTTAATTAAGTATGCCACATATGCATAACAAATAATATAAGGAGGATTTTTAATCGCTGTTGCATGATGATTCTTTGTCTACTAATGTCATTCTCAACTTTTTCCATATTTCATTTTGCTTTTGTTCTTGAAATTTTTAAACAATAGACACTTTTTAACTCAGCATATGTTACTGCAATCGTCATAGCTGTATGCTGGCCTTTTTTCCATAAAACTGACAACCTTTTCAATAGCCTTTTCAATTTCAGTCCAGGTTTCATCACAATCATGCATCTCATTGCTATCTTGTTGCAGATGTGGTCTCATTGTCATCCTTTCCTCTTATTCCCATCATCTTTTGCACCAATAAAAGCCATTAGGGTGAAATAAGCATAAGCAATTATCAAAAGTAAATTTCTTGAAAAACAGAAATTTCAAATCAGTTACATATCACCCAAATAGTTCAAATATACACATCAAAATCATGTCCAGATATGCAGGATTCCAGATATGGGGCACTCCGGGTATGAGGGATCTACTGTATCATGAATTGGTATAAAGTACATCTCTTGTATGCAGTTATTAATAATGTTAACACAGTTTCAACCTTGATATTTGTAAATAAAAACAAAGTACAGATACCTCATTAAGAAGTCAGGCATTGATTTGACACTATATTTGTATTAAGAATGGTACCTCTTTTCTAAAACGATAATAAGTCAATATTTTTCACTTCTGACAACTGTTATGGGTAGAGGAAGATCTCATGAATGATAATCTATTATTATTGTGCAAAAAGTTATTCCCTTTTTTTTTTTTACAAGCAAACAAGTTAATTTATATTTTAATAGTTCAAATATACACATCAAAATCATGTCTGGATATGAAACACTCCAGATATGAGGAATTCTACTGTAAAATAAAGAATAATGAACCTATCAAACATATTAATTTTAACTTAGCACTAACGCCCTCTGGAAAGGTATCCATATTCCTGCATTTTATCTCATCATTCTATATTTTGATAAAAAGGTCTTGTCTCCTATATGCCACAATAGTAACTGGAAAGGTAAATGAAAAATGCTTCAGCAGCCCACTTCTCCTCCATAAATGCTGTTCAAGAAATAACAATTGTTAAAAAAAAAGACTTCAATAATTGCTAACCTTGACAAAAGCCAGCATCATCATAATTATATCTGTCACTTTCTCATTCTTAATTTTATCTTTAATCATTTCACCCCAAGTAAGGCAATAAAGCCACTAAGGTGTTACTAAGTGTAAGAAAATATGAGAAAAGAAAACCATTATTAAGGAGGGAGAACAATAAAAGAAGAGGAATTAAAGAGATAAAAGATAACAATTGACATTGCATTTAAATGTTGGAAGAGCAAAGTTAACTGGAAAGCAAGAGGCTGGGAGAGAATCCCACAAGTGAAAAGTTTTTCCATATATATATATATATATATATATATATATATATATATATATAATATATAATATAAAAAGCTCAAACACTAATATTCCATGGTTATAATTTATTACATTGGAATTGTAATCACAATCCAATTCATCAGAAAAAAAGAAATCGGAAAATGTAATAAATTATAACCCTGGACATTGAATATTAGTATTTGAGACTTTTATATTATATTCTTACTCTGTCATGGACATTGACTTCTACCTGGATTTTATTCTCTTGGGAATTTATATATATATATATATATATATATATATATATATATATATATTTTTTAACGGTAAAAAACATGGCATTAAAGGCAAGAAATTTTTTACTATAGGCCATAAAACATAAGTCGACCGGTTTTGTCCCCTCTCATCAGAACTGTAAACTAGGAAGCAAATTATGAGAAGAAAGTCTGTTGCGGATGACGTGAATGAATGGACAGGGAAAAAATATAAAAATAAAAGTTATAACAACACAGCGTTTAGATGTTAGGACTAAGCAGCACATGCCTGCTAAAATACTCAAGAAAATTTTTTGTTTGGTGATACCATTCGAAATACATATGGGTCTTCTATAGCAGATCACTTGATAAATAATCTGACCTGTGTTATGGATTTTAATGTGAGCTGGTTCTCTGTTCTTGCCAGAGCACACTCGTTATTCCATCTGAAGGTGTTGGAGATGCTGTTCATCAGGTCCAGGCGACCCACTCTTTGTAAACAAAGAAACTGTTTGCTTGGGCATGCAGTGCTGTGTCGCTAGCATCTTTGGTGTTATAACTTTTATTTTTATATTTTTTCCCTGTCCATTCATTCACGTCATCCAAGACAGACATTGTTCTCATAATTTGTTTCTCCGTTTACAGTTCTGCCGAGAGGGGACAAAACCAGTTGACTTGTGTTTGTGTTTTTGTTTTAAAATTTATCATGGCGTATAGTAAAAAATTTCTTGCCTTTAATGCCATAATATATATATATATATATATATATATATATATATATATTGACCACTAATATTATCAATATCTATATATATGTGTGTGTGTGTGTAATTATATAATCCAACATTTTTTTTACTATGAAAAAGTTATTCTAGTATTTTTTTTTATATATTATCCAACATTATATATATATATATGTTATCCAACATTAATTTTTATTACTATAAATGTTATTTTTAGTGAATACATGTATTTGAATTGCTGAATTGTGTAATTTGAATTCCACTAAAAATAATTTTTACTTTTTAATAAAAAAAATGTTGGATAATATATATGTATATATCTATATATCTATATATATATATATATATATATATATATTATTCAACTTTATTTTTTTATTATTATAAAAGTTATATTATTTTATTACTATAAAAGGATATATATAGTCATCCACATTTCCAGCAGAATGTAATTAACAAATCTTTTGTTTATGATATTGACAATATTTAGTTATACATAATGACCAAGATTGTCAAAAGTACTCAAACAAAAACATGAACTTTGGGCAGTTTATCCATAATTTTGATCCTAATGGGCAACAATTTGTTAATGGCTGACTGCTTGTGCTAGGGTAGCTAACCAATCCCTATTGCAGACGCCTGCTCAGACTCATTTGTGTTTTTTTCAACACCTACAAAGCCCACCTGTGGTTTATACTGCAATCTGTTCTTTGCTATGTTGCAACTGGCATTGTGTTTATCTATTGAATTGGATATCTGCAAGGCTCATGGTAAACCTTTTAGTTGAAAATTAATTCAAATCACAATGCCATTCTGATGATAACAAACAACTATTTATTACTAGCAATTACTACGTCATTCTGCCTTCTTTCTTCTTTTTGTTTGTAGTGAACACTAGTGTCTACACAAGGACTTTTTTCCTCTCAGGCCTTTTTCCATGGACGGTCAGTGTAACAATAGTAGCAACTTCTTTCATCACCATTTTTTTAAGTCAGTTTCTTTTTTTTTTAACTTAACGTCATTCTTCTAACTCCGTTGAAATGTTGCTCCATATTTTTTATAGACCAACTTATTGATTGGTTCTCTCCCTGTTTGTGGGTGTGGAATTTTTCTGTTTATATAGTCTTCAGACACTGGAATTGTGATGTAGTCTTTTTCTTCAGGTAAAGAAGATTCTCTTCACAAAAATCAGATGTCCTTCAATGGCTGGCTTTTGCCGCCAAATAAACCCATGAATATACTTCTTCATTTTTCAAAATAGGCTCGAGCGGTGAGAAATACATGTATTTAAAGGGAATAGGAAAATTTAGATAATTTTGGCTCCCTCTGTCATTCGAAGGTTCTGTTATGTACACAACCTTTTAAATTAGGATTTTCAAATCTCATCAGTTCCAAAATAAAGTGTTTTTTTTATATGTTCTGATTATCTGTTTCATTTGGTTTCTTTTTCTACTATAGTTTTCCCAGCCTACTGTATCCCCATACATACTTTCATCTATTTAGTACTAGCTGGTCGCTCACAAGATTGTGAGTGCAGTCGCTTTGTTCCTGCAAAAAAGGGTGAAAAGATTACTACTATCAACAAGATATATACATACACTTTTATAAGGACTCTTTCTCTCTCTCTCTCTCTCTCTCTCTCTTAAGCTAAAGGACTTAACCATTCAACATGAGAACTTTCTGATATGAACTTAAGAACTCTTTAAATATGGTATATTTTATTTTAAGAGATATAAAATTTTATCAGTATATGCAAAATATATCTTTGTACTAATTATCTTTGCATTCATTTTTAATAGGTCAAAAATTGGTGTATATTGAGATTAAGGACGAAGATAACCACCTGTAAACACCCACATAAATCCTACAAGTGCATTTTATTAGTATTGCCCTATAAAAACTCATGCTACAATCTGCCATTTTTTCTATTCTATTTTTTTATGATGATGTTATAATCTTATGGAGTAGAACAATAGTTCTCACAACTTGTTTGTTTTCTTATGTTAAATATTTTTCTTCCATTTCAGAATGTCCGCCCAAATCATACAGAAAGTTGTGGACCCTACAAACCAATACAAAGACATACAGTGCCTTTACCCTCACACCAAAGCATTTCAAAGGACAACCATGATACTATAGGAATGTTGGTGATCGACAAGAATGGTAACATTGCTGGTGGAACCAGCACAAATGGAATGAACCACAAAATTCCAGGGTTAGAAGAGGCTTATACTTTTCATTTTTTTTTTGTTTTCCATTTTTTAAAAATATAATCTTAGCTGTTAAGAATTAGCAGTTCACCATATTTATTTGTGTACAACCTAACCTCATGTGTAATATTAGTTTCCTCCCAATTTTGTACATATTAGGGTGTATCAAACATATTTTCATTTTTTACAGCCCTTTACTCTAAAGCTTATTTCATGAACACATCTGAAGATGAGAACTCCACTACTAATTATCATATTATAATTCTGCCTGTTTCTTTGTTCTTTAATTAGTTATTTACATTATTTAGACTGTTATCCTCATCTTCATTGCCATATTCACAACATTTCGGTCTTTGTACACTCCGGCCTTCTTCAGGTGATTGGAATTTCAAACTGAACCCTTTATTTTGTCAAAAGGGGTAGATTGTTCTAGTTCCATGTGCCATGCCTCTTCTGGAACTAAAAAAAAATATTACTAGCAACACGTTTTTGAGAAAAAAATATTACCAGCAATACATTTTTGAAGGAAAAAGTATTACCAGGAATACATTTTTGGAAAAAATATTACCAGCAATAAAAATCTTACCAGTTTTAAATAACTTATTAAGGTTGATAAGCTGTTAAACAAAACAAAATGAACCAATGAATTCTGCTATATTATTATTATTATTATTTATCATATCATTAGTAATAATAATCAGCAATACATTTTGTTTCAGATGTTAAAATGACAGATAAATGTTTCTGGTAATTTTTAGGCATTATTTGAAACTGAACCTCAAAGTTGCTGAAACTGCTTTTAGAATTTGGAAAGTAAAAATAACATATATATATAATACTGTATTTTGTTAAAAAAATGTTCAACCAGAGTATTTCTAGAAGATAACATTTTTAAAACATGCAGTCTTTGCAATTATAGTGTTTAGTATCAAGAGATAGAGCAGCAACATCATCATCATTAATCATAATAATAATAATAATAATGATAAAATAAATAAAATTACATATCCACTTGCAAACTCATAATAAAGACAAGTTAACATTTAATTTTATTCTCTCTCTCTCTCTCTCTCTCTCTCTATATATATATATATATATATATATATATATATATTTATTAAAAATATATAATGTCGACAATTTACCCATTGTACCCTGTATGGGTGTTTGTGTGTGTGTATGTATATATATATATATATATATATATATATATGGTTTGATGGGTAAATTGTTGCCATTTTATATTTTTAATTTTGTGCATGCACATTGTTTCTTTTTGATTTTGTTGACTATGCAGTATTGTAGGGTCAGTTGGGCACCATCTGTGAGAAAAAGAGCACCATGACGCAATTCACTCTCCCCAAAAATGGCATGCCGTACTGCTTGGCATTCATGCCAGTTAGCTCTAATATAAACATTTCAGAGTGTTTGGGTGTCAATATGAGTCTAATGGTCATTACGAAGGTGTTTGGAGTGATCACTAATGATGGTGATGTTATGCCTCTATTCATCTTCCCACAGGGTCTCAAACTCTACACAGAAGTCTACATCAATTGCCTTGAGGGAGTCATGCTGCCCTGGGTCAAGAAGATGGTTGCTGGAAGACACTATGTCTGGCAACAGGACTCTACTCCATGCCACACAAGCAGGAGAACATAGTCATGACTGTCAGACTATTTCTGTGAGCACATCACCCCTTACATCTGATCACCTAACTTCCCAGACTGCAACCCCCTTGATTATTATGTGTGGAGTGCAGTTGAGCGATGAACAAACAAAACTCCTTGTAAAACTAAAGATGAACTGAAGGCAAAGATTATGGTAGCATTCACCAACTTAAACAAGGAGACCATCCAGAAGAGTTGCAGAAGATTCCAAAGTCGCTTGGAAGCTATGTTTGAAGCCAAATGTGATTTTATTGAATAAATTTACTCTTTAGTATTTCAAGATAATTTTGTGTAATTTTGGTAAATATATCTGTTAAAATAAGATGTCAATGTTATTTTCATTTTAGCATAATTTAGACAACAATTTATCGATCCCACCGTGTATATATAATAAACATATAGTTTTAAAGTATGCTTTATTTATTGGTAAAAGTGATCCATATCAGAGATAGAGTGTATGTAAATATAAAAGTGGACACTGAGGTCAGCACCAAACAGTGACAGTCTGTTACATACTTAAGGAAATCATTCTTGCCTGAAGATTGCATTGTTTGTTGTTGACCTAACTGTCCACTTTTATATATACACATGCTCTATCCCTGATATTGTGCATTTTTATCTATAAATATGGCATACCTTAAAACTATATTTTATCATATATATATATATATATATATATATATATATGTGTGTGTGGAATGAACGGGGTATTCGACTGGATACGAAAATTCAGGTTTACAGAGCTGTTGTACTTGCCATCCTTTTGTATGGCTCAGAGTTGTGGACTCCATACAGGTACCATATACGCCAGCTAGATGTTTTCCATAAAAGCTGTCTGCGTGCAATCTGTGGAGTAAAGCTTCAAGATAGGACATCTAACGTAGACCTGTTTAACAGGGGTAATATTGGAGGAATCGCGACTTTTATCATACAGTCTCAGTTACAGTGTACTGGTTATGTCTTGAGAATGTCTGATGACAGGATACCCAAGATCCTAATGTACAGCCAGTTAGATCAGGGCTACAGGAATGTAGGACGCCCATGGCTAAGATACAAAGACAAGCTGAAAAGCAACTTGTCAGCAGTCAATATACCACATAACACCCTTGAGCACTTAGCTTTGGAGTGGGTAGAATGGAGATCAATGTGTTTTAGTGGACTCAGCAATTTTCAATCTGCTTGTCTGAATCATCTTCAAGAAGTGAGAGCAAGATCTAAAAGGTCAGCCAATCTAACAGTGATCTCCTCTCACAATCCTCCCACTTGCTCCATATGTGGCCTCCTTTGTAAATCACTAGCGGGTCTTAAATGCCACTTAAGATTATCGCACAAACTTTCATAACTGAATCAATAAGCTGTCAGATCCTCATACATCGAAACTGATGGGAGAGAGTCCATTATTATATATATATATGAGTGTGTATATATCTGAGTGGTTAGTGTTACAACTATGAGACCTGGGTTTGAATCCTAGCAAGTTCAATTCATTAAGAGAGTGGCCTTAAGAATATGAACCTGAGAGGTGATCCCAGCATGCAGCTCTGGTGGGAAGAACCTGAAAACCATACCATTGGTTGACCCAAGTCAGGTGATGGAAATTGTATTGGAGGATGTCATCAGTGGTTGTCACAAGTGTTAAGCCTGATGACAAAGTCAAGCAAGATGTCATTGTATGAGCATCTGGGCTTCCCTTTGAATTTGTTGCCAAAAATCTATGAAAATTTAGACATGTACTGCAAAGCAATTCATGGTTGAAATCTGTCAACAACAACCTCAAAAAGTTGATGTCTCCAGATGGCATAGTCTGGAGAAGCTGGCTATCAAAATGTCCAGGCTTTTGAATTGGATAGTGAGTGTGAGTGAGTGATTTCTTGCTTTTCTTTGAATTCTTTGAAACCTTATTTTCTGAATATTGTTTTTCCTTTCTATTTTTCAAAAGGAGAGTTGGTGATTCCCCCATCATTGGATCAGGTGCATATGTAGATAATGATATTGGTGGGGCTGTGGGGACTGGTGATGGGGATGTTATGATGCGGTTTGTCCCTAGGTAAGTTGAACAATGAAAAAGGATTCATTTTCTTTAAGCGAGAAAATATTTACCCTCTCTCTCTCCCTCTTTATCTCTCACTTTCTTTCTTAATATATACTTACTATTCTGTATGCTGCTACATATAAGAAATAAGCAAGACCATATTACTAAAACACTCTGCTGCTGTTATCTGCTGCAGAAAGTTGTAAACAATGTTTGATGCTTTCATCATAGTTGCTCAATGAACTAATTGCAGCTGATTAAAAGTACTGAACCCTAGGAGTTTCCAGACTACAGAGTGCCAGATTAAAGAGATCAAACTGTATTATGATTGGATTTATTGTTTTAAGTAGTAGATGCTAAGGAGTTGATAAGTAATATTATATGCTTATTTTTAATAAATTCATTTTTATTATTGTTGGGGTTGTTGTTATATTTTTTGTTGTAAATAACAATAATTCCAAAGCAGGCATATCTAAAACAAACTGTTACAGCTGTTCCATAAAATATATTGGGGAAACTTTTTTTTTTTGATCAATTCAGTCCAAGTAAGGCAATATCACAATCTCTGATAAAACATTAATAAAATTGAAACATGCTAGATTGATAAACGTTTCTTATTTGTTTTTTTATATTATATATATATATATATATATATATATATATATATATATATATATATATATATATATAAGAGGACACTGAGATCAAAACAGTAACAGTCTGCATGAAGCAAACTGTCACAGTGTCGTGTTGACCTCAGTATATAATATAATATGTATGTCTGATTGAATAAATTACAAATATTATATCTGTTTATTTTTATTATAATCCTTTCATATTCATGAATATTTTTCCCTATATTACAATTAAATAAGTCCAGAAATGCACTGTAACAGTGAGAATCACTTTTATTTCCCAAGTACTTTCCATCTCTTTCTGTTTTTTTCTTCTTCATAGTTTTCATACTGTTCAGTTGATGCTAAATGGTTTGTCACCTGAAAAAGCAGCTCGTAGCGCTCTGAAGCCAATCATCAAGAAATACCCAGACTTCAGTGGTGCCATTGTTGCAGCTTCCATTTCAGGAGAATATGGTAAGAATTACAATATTTCATGCCATATAAAATGCAATTTTTATCAAACAGCTCAAAAAATTGCACTGCATTTTATATATAAATTTGAGTCCCTGCCTCTTCCAGGTTAATTTTATTTCCAACACTCATTACTATAGGTTATAATTTTACCTTAGACATTAATTTTTACCTACCTTGAGGAAAATTTCAAATCTTTTCATTTGTATCCCCTTACTTCTTTAAATAACAACCAGCATTCATATTTATGATTGTTATTACAATATTTTGTTAAAATTGTTAAGCTCAAATATTTAACGATGTTATAGGGAAATTTCTACAGATATTTTATTGTCATAGAGGTCGCCATGAACTTACTTAATCATTAACTGAAGAATTAAGATTCATCAGAATATCAAAATAGGAAAACTGAAATTTTCATTGGTTAAAACAAGTTATTGATATTATCCTTATTAATATTATTCTTATTGATATTATCCTTATTATCATTAAATAAAACTATTGACATCACTCTTCCAATATTTTGCAACACTTAGACATTTTTAAACACTTAGACATTTTTAAACACTTAGACATTTTTAAACACTTAGACATTTTTAAACACTGAGTTTTTTCTTTTCTTTTATTTTTCTTTGATTTTCTTTCCTTAAATTTTAACATTGTTAAATCTTTTTGTCTGAATTTCTGGAATGAGGATTTATCATTATTTACACTATTTATATTTGGACTATTGTCCTCATCTTTTTTGTTGTTATCACAATGTTTCGGCCATTGTGCTCTCCAGGCTTCTTCAGGTGTATATTAATGTGAGTAACCTACATAGGACAATGGTCTAGCAGATTAAATAATTTGTTTGAAAATTTGGTGACATAGTGATTATGAGTTCAATCCCTGCATCGGGCAGTGTGTACTTGTATTCAGTGGAAAACAAGAACTAGACAATAGACATGAGAAATGAGAACAATTTACTCCTGCAAATTAAATAAAGGGTTCTCTTCAAAATTTCTCGTTGGTTACTCAGATTGATATACACCTGAGGATAGTCTGAAGACACAATAAATTCCAGCATTAGATTTTAATATTAAAATATTTCCAGCAACAGATTTTAATGGGAAAAACAATTCTAGCCATAGATTTTAACAGTAAAAAATTCCAGCAACAGATTTTAATGGTAAAAACAATTCTAGTAATAGATTTTAATAGAGAAAATATTCCACCAATAAATTTTAATAGTAAAATTGTAATAGTTTTAATAAAAAAATTCTAGCAATAGATCTTAATAGAAAAAAATTTCAGCAATAGATTTTAATATTAAAAAAAAACAAAAGCATCCAGGAATAGATTTTAATGGTAAAAAAATCTGGCAAGAGAATTTAATAGTAAAAAAATTCCAGCTATAGTTTTTATGGTAAAATATTCTAGTAAGAAATTTTAATAGCAAAAAAAATAATTCCAGCAATAGATTTTAATAGTAAAAAAATTCCAGCCATAGATTTTAATGGTAAAAAAAATTCTAGCAATAGATTTTAATAGTAAAAAAAATTCCAGCAACAGATTTTCATAATAGCAAAAATTCTTGCAATAAATTTTATTACAAAAAAAAATTAGCAATAAATTTAAAAGAGAAAAAATTCCTGCAATAGATTTTAATATAAAATAAAAATTTTCACAATAGATTTTAATAGAAAAAACATTACCAAAACTGCCAATAAAATTAAATTTTGACATTAAATGACCCAAAAGAAGTTGATATGCTGTTAAACAGACTAAAATAATCCAAACTAGGCAACTGACTGGCAAATTAGTTAGCACAGCCGTTATACCCTATAAATACCATTATACCTTATAAATAATTGTCTATTCTTGTTGATACCTCATCTCAAAAACTGAAATAATATTAGAGAGATGTAGTTCTACCGACAAATGCTGAGAATACTATGGACAGAACATGTGAGCAACAAGGAAGTTTTAAGTAAAATAGGCATTACAAGAAAAGTGATACTTACAATCAGAAAATGACAGCTGAAATTTCTGTGACACATAAGGAGAAAAGTAGAACTGGAGAATTTAACACTCACAGGACATTGAAAACAAGAGAAGCAGGGGAGATGCAATGAGTAACTTACTTGATGAGTTTGAGTGAATAGATGGCAAAGCAAGAAAAAATGAGTTTGGTCAAGAATCACAAGGGCAACAAAAGAAAGGAAGTTGTGGAGAGCCATATTTGCTAATGTCCTGAAAGAGCATGCTAGATAAAAGATGAAGAATAGAGATTTATTTATGAAATGTGTTCCTTGAATTGGTTAACAGAAGATATTTTTGTTTCAGGTGCTGCCTGTCATAATTTTGGAGGAAAAGTTCAGTATACATTGCAGACTCCTTCCCTGAAAAATGCCACCATATTCACAGTTAAATGTTCTATGAGCAGCAAATAAATGGTTTCAGTAAAATTCCACTTTTCTTATGTCTTTTTACATTCAGTAATTCCTGAGTATTAAACTAAGCAATTATCATTCTATTCACCACTGAGTATGTGGAGAAGCACCAGAGGGTCTTAGTAATATTTATCAGAAAATTCTGAACACTTTGAAATAAAAGAACAGGATCAAAGATATAAACAAATAATATATATTTATTTAATTGACTTCAATTGGGACGAGTCCTTTATAAATCTGGTTGGTGAAAGTTTATTTGGCTTGGTAGTTGTAGTTAGACTTTGATAGTAGGCATCTTCCTGCTGATAGCTGTTGGGAATATAGTAACTTTGGAAATATATTGCAGCACCAATCTGCTGTGTATCTTGGTCCTCAAAATGGTAGAAAATGTCTTAAGATGACCACTTAGTACTTCATGTGACAAGCTTGAACCGGTTTCTAACTGTCTCTTCTTTGCTATCTGTTAGCTATCTCTTTATATACAATTTTGAAAGGCTCCAGACTGCTTGGCATAACATCAAAAGTCACTTTGTTCTTTTTATTGGCCAAAATTCTTTTACTTATTATCCGGCATTCCTTTCTTTTTTTTTTCTTTTTTTTTTAATAGTGGAACATGTGTGGAGCCTTTCTTATTTTGGTAGATTTCTTGTCACAATAACTAGCAAATTTCCATTTAACATCAACTGGTCAGTCTTTTCTTCTTCTTCATCTTTTTATATGAAAGTTGCCTTCTCATTAGTTGAGAGAGAAGTATACAGAGAAAGAAAAAGAGATATGGATATTTTAAGGAAAGCAAATGCTTTACTTTAATTCTAATTTTTTTAATATTTTATATCCCATTTGGGCATGGCAGAAGTAATTATAATTTCTATAGTGTCAGAAGAATGATGAGAACTTGTGACATAAAAAATGTGTTATACATTCAAATAAAGCACTTATAGTGGGACCTCAGTGTCTGTGGCTGATAGCTTCTAAGATTCCCTGCAGGTAGTGAAATTTGCAGATGTTAATAAATCATCTAGTTATGTTTTTATAACATCATCAATAATGTTGAATATGATGATGATTGTAAGCATTTCTGGTCTCAATAGGGAATGCTGGGAGCAAAGAGATCAAGCAGGAGTTTAACTAAAATAGTTATTGAAATTAGCATGTCCCATGTCATTGTGTTGAAGTAGCTTTTCAGTGGCCAGTCTCATATAATTTATCTTTCCACCCTAAGCTCAGTGGAACAGTATGTCTAACAATTTTCACCTTAAAATCAACAAGCTGTTTTAAATATGTAATTTTCCCACCATCATAATGTAGCTTCCCTGTGCCTTTTCTACAAATAACTTTCATGGTAATTGTTCTGGTGAGTTTTCCTCTTTGCTATCTAGACTTAATGAATTTAAGTGCAGTACTAGATTGGCAGCTAGGTCTCATCATTTTACAGTTGAAATGGCTAGATGTAACAGTAAGTTCTAAGCTGACAGTTTCTTCTTTCACACTTCTCACCTGTGGAACTCTCTTCTGACTTCTTCTCCAGTCAACTTTGATCTTCAAAAATTTAAATGCAGTGTCAATTTTTATTTTCTGTCTTCTTAATTCCTGTTCTTTTATTTTTCTATCTTCTTAATAGTGTTTTCTTTTTCTCATATTCTATCACACTCAGTATCCCTTGTGGCTTAGTGGCTTTATTGCCTTGTTTGGGGTGAAATTATTAAATAAAAAAATTAGATTTTTTTTTTAACCATTTTCTTTTTTATTTTTGGTCAGATGAAAAAAACTCAAAATTTTTATTTAAAAGGAATGAAAAACAGATTTCTATTAATTATTATGTAGACTTGGACTGTTAGGAATTCAATGTTTATTTTAACCCTTTTCATGACAGAATGGACACAACTTCCCTTCGCAAAGAAATAGAGTTGACCAACATAAAAATAAAATATATCATATAAAAACATTTCAGTAATCAAGAAAAGTATATATATTTTTTAATAATTTGACCTTTCCCCCAGGATCTGATGACTTTTTGATGACTTTGAGAACATTTCAATTGATTAATTTTGTTTATATTTTTAAAATACTATTATTAATAAAAACTTAATTAAGCAAAAAGTCGATGCCTAAATTTTAAAATACATTTTAAAAATTAGAAAAAATCCTAAAGCTTTAATTTTTGTTTTAATTCCAAGCTCATATATTAAATTTAATATTCCCAATAAGCAAAATACTTTTGTATATTTCAAACTGTATTTAAATTTATTGGAATTTTTTTTCTCTTTATTAGTAAAATCTATAAATTCATCTATATTGACTGATCTATCATCAGAAAGTGATTCTCTTTCAAAAATAAAATACATTGTAAATGTTATTTGAGGAAAATTAACCGATTTAAAGTTTAAATTATCTTAATTTAAACAAATATTACTTTTAGTTTAAAATATAACAGAACAGCAAAGTATGTAAAATTCAATAAAATATGAGATTTCTTTAAGATATCTTCATAAATTAGATTAGTGAGTAGTTAAAAAAACATATTAAAAAGGCATTCATGTTGTATTCATCAAGTAATTTCTTTCAGTTCTGTTCCCCTTACTTGAATTTCCCAATCATCAGGTTGGCAATAAATCACACAATATATCAGAAAAATCAATCCTTCATGTAAAAAAATAATATTTTGATGATTTAAATTCTCTGAGGACTTATCCTTATAACAAATATCAGCATTTTATGATTCAAAAAACTATTTCTCAAAATATCACAAAAATAAAATGAAATTTTTAAAAAAATCCTTTTTACGGATATTTTCTAAAAAATCATTTCAAAATTAATTTAATTTCTGAATAAGTCCTGAAAGTTTCATTAAAATCAGACAATTATCTGAGTTTTGTAAGAATTTCAAAATCAATCTGTTTTTCATAAAAAAGAAACATTTCAAAAATAATTTATTTAATTTCACAATAAGTCCTGAAAGTTTCATTGAATTATCTGATTTTTGCAAGCATTTCAAAACCAGTGTGTTTTCATAGCAAAAAGATGCTTAAATTTCCTGTACACATTTAAGGTTTCATTTTGATGACAAAAAGAATAAGATTTTTAACCAAATTTTCCATGGTACCAAAAAGAATAAAAAAAAATACGTCAAAAATCCTTTGATCTTTCCTCCTAATAATGACAAAGATTTTATTCTTATGTTTTGGGCATTCTTTTCACCACAAGGAACCAAGGTATAAAGTTATATGTTTTTTTTTTTGTTTATATTTTACTCTTTTCGAATATATTTTGCAAACTAGTTCTTGTTTAATAAAAGTGATGAACCATTTTTTTTTTTTTTTGACTGAGACAAATAAGTGGAACTACAGTTGGAAATTATGTTGATGGAGAACCTCCACTGTATATGTATACAGATTGTGTTTTATATATTTGGATTATTATATAACTATTAACTATATTGTTGGCCGTAGCTTTTACAGTCTCAGGTACATGAGTCTCAGTATAGAGGCAATGGGTAATGAGGCTAGCCTGGTTGACCATTTCTAATGAGGAATGAGTTCTATTCTCACAGGTGAAAAATTCAGCATTAAATAATCCACCAAGGGCTGATAAACCATAAATCCTATCAACCTAGTTTGTCCAACAATTTTACTTGTAGATCATTAGTAGTGAATTTGATCCTCACTGAGTGCTCAATACTTGTAGCCTTGTGCCATAATTAAGCTTCTATTCTTAAGTAAATAATTTGGGCATCTCATTGTAGGGCAATTGGTTAGCAATCTGGACTTGTAGATCATTAGTACTGAGTTTGATCCTCACTGGGTGCTCCATACTTGTTGCCTTCTGCCAAAACTAAGTTTCTCTTAGTAAATAATTTAGGCATCTTATCATAGTGCAGCAATCTGTACTTGTAGATCATTAGTAGTTACTTTGATTCTCACTAGGTGCACCATACTTGTAGCCTTGTACCAAAAGTAAACTTCCCTTATTAAATAAAGTTGAACATCTATAAGCAAGACAAAGTTTGTAGTGCATAGCACTACAGGATCAAACCAAGTAATGTAACCAAAGTTGCATGACTGATATATAGGTGTTTTTCATCATATTAATTGGTCAAGTACTTACTATGTCTTACTAGACCTATTTGAAAATCAAAAAGTGTCAAATATTTAATTATCTTTTTTCCCCATTAAATAATAAGGTAAGATTCACATATAGCAATTCACATATTCATACATTTTCAGGGTCCTTATAATTCTCATATGAGATATGGGAAGTATCTCTGCAATGTCCCATGTCATGTGACTTGGATTATTTTTAACCTTCTTTTCAACTTGGTCTTCATCAATGACAAGAGGCATCTCAGAAATTCTCAGTTTTCTAGATCAAAATTTCCACTTCTGAACCACTTACAAACTGTACTTTCAGCTATGGCACCATTTCCATCAATGGCACAGATCTTTTTTGCTGTTTGTTCATCATTTTTCCTTTCTGGAAATAAAAGAGCATCATATGATGATAATGCATCTTATTTTCTTCCATTTTTAAATTTAATGTAAAATATTGAAAGGGAGGATGAACTCCTCAGAGTTAACGACTATCTGCCTGTTGTATCTTATGTTTTCAAGATAACAGAGAGAAATAAATAACGGAAGACAAACTTGTAGGTAAGTAATGATATAGGTTTACTACACAAAGGTACACTTAGCAATGGACCTAATGCTAGCTCTGCTTAATTATTAATATAAATGGATGGTTCCATTTATTTATGTCCTATATCAGGGATCAGCAACCTTTTTCTATGTACCGACTTAGAGTTTTAAAATCATTCAGTGTGCCAACAGCATACATATTTTTATACAAGTCATGGTTAATATATACCTGTTCGACAATATATTTTATATAGTAATATATAATATATATACTTTAGTATATATTAAAATTGAAACTGCTAAATATCTTCTTTGCATTGTAGTAGTTATTGGTTTGGACTTTGTCAGTGTGCCATTGGAAATTGCTTG